CCAGCTCTGAAAGTATTCGACGCAGTACCCGCCGGGGGAAGCAGAGGAAGAGGAAAACCTCCACTCCGTTGGAAGGACCAAGTGGAGAAGGACCTCGCTTCACTTGGAATATCTAATTAGCGCCACGTAGCGAAGAGAAGAAACGACTGGCGCGCTGTTGTTAACTTGGCTATAATCGGGTAAGCGGTGACTACGCCAATCAAGAAGAAGAAGAAGAATTATTGATGTTGTTTATTTTATCAATAAGAGAAGTTGATTTTTATGTTATTTTTATAAAAATATAAAAAACTTCACAATCACTTCACTTCAACTAAAATTTCAAGGCTTTGTTCGAAATTATGGCATCGCTGTTGTAAATTCGAATGGCCACTATTGATTCATCCACTGATCGTTTTCGAATTATCGATACTCTCGATATTCGAGTTTGAAAGAGAATTGGTAAAATCAATTCTCATCAATATCGATATTTTATTGTCTTTATATTTTTCCAATTATTATTATTTACCAATTATGTATTTCTCATTTTTACCAATTGTCTTTCAGACTCGAATATTGAGAATATCGATATTCGAGTTTGAAAGAGAATTGGTAAAATCAATTCTCATCAATATCGATATTTTATTGTCTTTATATTTTTCCAATTATTATTATTTACCAATTATGTATTTCTCATTTTTACCAATTGTCTTTCAGACTCGAATATTGAGAATATCGATATTTAAATTTATTATCGAGAGTATCGATAATTCGAAACCGATCACTGTTTGTATCACTAGTGCCCAATTGAATTTCAAACAGTGATGCAAAATCGTAATATTTTTTATTGTTTTTATTGCAAAAAAAAACATAAAGCATGAAGGAAAAGCCGCTCTCCTGAACATTTACCGGAATTTCTAACAATATCCATGCAGTGAACTGCTATATACAAAAAGTGATCACAGCGAAAAAATCAAAGTAGTGAAATATCTCTCATCACTAGTTATTTGCGGTTCGAGATTTTGACTCTGTTAATTGTCGCGCAAAAGCAAATTGTTTTTCAAAGCGGTACTATTACGCCCGTTACATAAAGATTTAGTATATTCTCTATATAAAACCAAATTGAACTATGATTCCTGTATGGCAAATGGTGTTTGGTGTTTGTGTAGGCCTGGTTGCCTTGTTACTTGTGCGTCCACCTCAGGTTGGCTATCATCAAGAAAGACGCCGAAAAAGTACAAACAGTGAAGATAGATATACACCAGGATTTAATTCGTAAGTGAACTTAATTTACTGGGTTATAAGTTTGTAAATTGGTTTTGAATTTCTAGATCTCCCGGAGATGATTGTGTCATTTGTCTTATGGAATTGGAGAATGAAAATATGACATATCTGCCATGCGGTCACGCTTTGCACGACAATTGCATCGAACAATACAAGCGGCATAAGAAAAATTGTCCAATTTGTCGCGAACCCATGTGAGAGATTTTGAATGTTATACATTTTTCTTTTCGTACTCCATCATACAATTTCCATTTGGGAAATATATTGATTTGAGTGTGGATTTATGAAGAATTATTAATTGCGGGAAGAATAACTATTTTTTAAATATTTTTATATAAATGAAAAAAAATTTGACTGATGATAATGGCAAGAAGTACAGCAGTTTATGAAAAGACGAAGTTATCTTATTTGACATTTTATTTATCTTTTACTAATTGAGTTTATATAACTGTTCAAAATGTGTCCTAAAAAACAATTGTCAATGTATTAAAATATGTTTATTTCATAAATCGAATCTTAAAATTACAAAGCGTATGTAAAACAAAAACAAAATGATAATTACATTAATAAATAATATAGCAAAGTACTTACATACTTACTATATTATGTCTGGTATTAAAAAATTACATTAAGTGTAAGAATTAAATACAGGTAGGGCGTTATTTCTCCAGTTTTCGTGCCAACGCAATGTTTGGAATTCTTGCAAATTTTTACGAAAGCGTTCTTTCGATTCAAGTAAACTTGGATTACAAGGAAAGTTTTCAAACCAAAATTTTAGTTGGTCGGCCAGGTCTTTGTGATTCTCGAAAATGAATCCGTTCTGTCCGTGGGTTACCAATTCGCCAAGGCTTAGAGAAGACATATTCATTAATTATTATTTGTGTATATAAGCTTTTATGTATTTTATGTGATTTGACTCACCAATTGAAATTATAAGCACAAACTGGCAGCCCGCAACCGAACATATCAACAACTTTCATAGGTAGGTCTAAGCCACTGCTGCTATAGTGTAAACATACCCCCAAATCAGCAGAAGCTAAAATAAGTGGGTAGTCTTCCACGTCCAACCAGGGAGTTATTATTGAAACTTTAGACCACTTAAGTTTAGACATTATGCATTCATATTCTTCTTTCTGTGGTCCTTTGCCGGTTATAATGCATAAAATGGTAGGGAAATTATTTGGTCGCGCAGAGGCAGTGCTTTCATAATCTGAAGAACAATATTTAGCTCAATATTTTTTATGGCAGTTGTAGTATCAATGTTATGCAAATAAATTCACCTTCTAACGCTTTAAGTAGTATCCCAAAGTCTTCATCTGGTGTCCAACTAGTGCTCGATACAACAATAGCTACTCTTTGTGGCTTATAAGAAACATTTCCACTGATTAGTTTTTGTGTCAAAGCTGTTGTCTCGATAACTCCCGATTCTTTTAGATCTGCGTAACATTTTGGTAGAAATTGTGGATATTCTTTGGACAATTTCATAAAGAGCTTGTGCTTTTGATCCAATTCAATAGGATGAAATTGTGTTGGCGGTCTATCATATAGAACAACTGCTGGTCTAAAGAATCGTGTAAATTTGATTATAATATTTTTGATATCTACTTTGTGTTTACCCAATATTCCAATTTAGCAACAGATCCTCTTGCATTGCTTTGGTAACACAAAAATGTGCATTTGCTTTGCCCCCGAATGATCGCTCTATCCATTTAGCTAAACGGCAAAAATAACTCTTTTCACCGCTGGTGGTGCTCAAAGCTAATATAGTATACGTGTAATTATGCCAGTCAATGATAAACTTTGTTCTCGTAAATGCACAATAAAGGTAGCAAACTATTAAGGTTGGAACACCTGGTGGATTTTGCACAAGTAAAAAGTTTGAACGACGAATAGAAACTAGCGCCATGAGCAAACTTAAAGTCTGCCAGAATGTTTTGAAAATTAACTTCAGTTTAGGTGTGAGGTTTGTAACAGGCACTGGTGATAATTCATGTATTTTGACTTTGTGGTGTGCATTAGTTAGGGCGTCCAGTGGTTTTGTTTCAACATAGCCAATAAAGTCAACGTTATAATTTTCTTCGAGCAAACTAACTGCGTGGTATTGCATGCGTGGACTGCGTCCGATGTCGCCAAGTACAACAATGCAGGCATTTCTTCGCCCAATTTGTACATCAACCATTTCGTAAGTAGTAATAGTTTAGTGAAACATATATTAATTCTACAGTGAGAAGTTCAAACGATTTTATAATATAACCGTACGACTTATAAAAATAAGTCCATTGGAAATACGTCAACAAAATAATGACACTTTTAGACATTACATATCAGCTGACTAAATGCAATAAACAGATATGCATGATGGAGAATCCATTAACTGAATATACAAATATTATATATAAGAACTTAAATTTAAACCATACTTTAATATTCTTAGGGATATAAATCATATATATAATTTTTAGTATGCCCTTCACAAACAAAAGAAAATCCAAAAGAAGGATTTGAAATGCTAACCTACATTTCTTAAATAAATTTCGTTTAGATTAATTCTACAAAGAATAAATATTTTTATACGTTTTTTGTATTACAAAATATTTATTTAAAACAAAATTAATTATTTTTTTTATGAAATGTACCATTTGGTCGCGTTAAAAATTCGAAAATATATAAAATAAATTATTTATCTAAGCATTTTAGTCACTCATTCGTCTTTGTGAGCCGGTAACTCTGTCAAAAGTAATCATAAATTGTTAAGAAGAAATAATTATTCAGCTTAAATAAGTTTTTGTCTAATATTTTAATTTGGTAAAAAATATTATTAAAGAATGGTATGTATATCAAATAAAATAAACCGGTGGCACCTCTACATTTTGTATATTTCTATTTTCTAGCGATAATTTTTACAATTATTAACAAAACTTCATTCTAAAAGTGGTCATGGAAAATGTGTTAAAATCGATCTATGTCTATATTTTGCAATAAACGCTGCAGTAAAAAAATTAATAAAACGTGACATAGAACAATATAAAAGAAAAAATATACATATAAATTGTTTTATAAAATATTGATTTTGAGTAACACTTGGGCGTTTGTAACAAAAAAAAATTAATGGCTGGAAGACGGAAACGTGGACGCCCACGTCGCGGCGAAGGACCTGCGCTTGATGATATCGATGTACTGCTTGCACGTGAATTTCAACAAAGACCGGCATTTTATGATCGCAATCACCCTCAATATAGGAATAGAGATTACTTGGAAGGAATGTGGATAGATATGGCCGAAAGTGTGGGACAAAATGGTAAGATAAGATGTTTAAAATAGTGTTTCATATATGCGAAGGTATGGGTATTTTTTAATATCAATAATGGTGGCTAAAGTAAAAGGTAAATATTTAAAAATACTAACTACTTTATCAATTGCGACAGTTGCTATAGTAAAAAATCGTATGGTTCAATTACGAAATCGTTATAACTTGGAAAAACGTCGAGTGGAGATGTTACAGGACCAATATAATGATCCAAGTATTACATCGCAATGGCCAATGTATAATTATTTAACATATTTAGGTGATCACATAAAAGCTCGTCGATCGTTTACTAAAGAAGTAATTGTAAGACCAAAATCGGCACCATTTTCGAATTCAAGGTGAGCACTTCAATTTCGTTTTTTTTTTATTTATATGACTAAAAATAATTTAAAGCATAAGACCTGTGCGTTTTGCTTATTGCAGTGATACTGATGGATGCGATGAAGCGAATCCTTATCCACCGTAAGTTAGTTTAATTTTATGTTTTATGTACTATATTTTGTTCAATAAAAAGGTAATGCTTATGTGACCATTTGTAGAACCCCTCCGGTTGCTGCTCCGCCAGAGAGGCAATTAAGAACAGATTTATCCAATAATGCAAATGAGCCAAATAATAATTCAAACTATCATGAAATGAGACCGCCAAGTCTCGACAAACAAATAGATAACATCCCTAATGTTAATCCAAACTTGTGCAAGTTTACAGCTTTTGGGCAGTTTTTAACTTCATCATTGATTGAAATGAATCAGAAGGACGCTTTGTTGTTGGTAGAGAAGTTCACCACTGATTTAGTAAAATCATTACTACTTGAAACACATAATAAATCACCGGATGTACAAATGGAAGTTGTTGTAAATGGACATAATTGATAAAGAGTATATTCTGTTTTTATTTATGTATATATGTAAGTTTTGTTTTACTATTATAATTATGTATTTCTACGCATTTCAACTAATTTTAATACTTGTCTACTTTCTTCTGGATTTAGAGTAAATGAATAGTATTAAGGGTACATCATAATAATAGTTTTTTGCATGTACAGAATTGCACCATATTTTAGAAATGAATAAAATGGTTAGTTTATTTTTTAACGTTCATTTTTATTTAAAATAAGAAAATTTTCTTTTTTAAATATGTATGTATGTATGTCCCCAAATTCATTTGGTGTAATATTTGTTAACAAGAAATTAAAATAAAAATTAGATCTTTTATATAATTAATATGGATGTGAAATGGACACATTGTATTTGATKTCAATAGTATTTGTATAACAAAGTAAGTGGCAGTCAATTGGATTCTGTGGAATGTAATTTTTTGTTTAGTTTTTTAAAGAGTTGTCAAATAAAAAAACAATTATTCTATTACTTGGTCCTAATATGTACATACATATATTAACGAAAGAAACAGCAAAATGGCGAATAAATTGCTGGTAATAATGGAGGATGGAAAAATGCATTACAGAGAACGTTTATCATATATGACAGAGAACGTATCATATGATCAGAAAACGTCTGATAGACCGTGATAGAACGTGATAGACGTTCTCTGATATGATAGACGTTCTCTGCTATTCTTTTACGTTCTCTGCTATTTATTTGTCATTTTATGTAACTTCTATCAAAGTTATGAACCGTTCAGCTGAATCAGCAACCATTTGTATAATTTACGAACTGTTTTCCTCATTTTCACATATGTTTTAAGTTCTCTGCTCATATACTCATTTCTCTCATTTTATATAACCACTCTCTCCGGTTGCATACGTTCGTTGCGTATAACAGTTAAATATTTTGGAGTTCTCCTGCTTCCGAGATGCAATGCAACATTTTTATGCGTCATTTCGTGTGATGTATTGTTCGAGTGCGATTCTTTCGCGGAAGACAATTTCGTCTTCATAGGAGCACATACAAATTTAGTTAAATTAAAAGGTTGCTTGTGTGGTAGAAAGATTGAAAAGTAAACAAAACAAATTCAGAGCGAGTGGAATTTAGATAGTGATTTCAAAGATATGTTGCACAAATCGAAAAATTGTTGAAAGTCAAATTATGTGTGCAAACTATTTTGTAAATTGATGAAGTGATTGCTGTCTGGCAAAAGTGCACACATACATATGTACATATGAGTGTAGATGTGATACGTATACATGTATGTACATATGTCTGTATGTGTATAACGGATTATTGTGTTGAAAAGCCAAGGAAGTGAATTACTTTTACAAAATATCGCGACAGTTACATATGTATAGAAATATCTACTCGCCATTACATTCATTAAGACGAAGTAACCAAACCAATGTGATTTGTGAAAACAATCATATATACAAATACACTAATTAAATGATAAATCTATTGTTAAGAGTAAATCAATATAAAAGTTAAATATAAATAAGTGTCTATATACATATGTACGTGTATGTCAAAAAATGCTTAGTATTTATGAAAGCTTATAAAAAATTTCAAAATTACTTGTGAAAAAATATAAATTTGTTTATTCGGCAAATAAGTGTTTTTGGGGAAAGCAAGATTAATTATATTTAAGAAAATAAAAATTTGCGGAAGTGTTTTAAAGAGTTGGTAAGTTTTTAACTTTTTCATTAAATAAGTGATTATTCAGATAAAAAGGGATTTTAACACCATGATTTCTTCAAATATAAATTATTCATAGTTTTTTTGTGCAAATTTTGCAATTATGATTATATTTATATTTGCAATTGTATATTGTTCTTTTTTCTTTTCGTTTTTTTTTTTTTAATTTTGTATAGAATCTCTAAATAACATAGGCTAACGCACGCTAAGCTTTTTAATGTCTTTTTTGCTAAGGGACCGCATCCATGTTGAATATTATTCTCATTATCGTAGAAAAAGTACATTATTCCCCCTTTTTTTTCGGTAGGTTATATCCTGGCTTTATTAATTCCAAGTTCTGTGCGTTTCTGTGGTTCTTGTATGAATTTTGCTTAATAAATATAATCCAATTGCCAATTCAAATGGCTCTTGCTGGTTCTAGATATCGATTTATTAGAGATACATTATAGTAAAAAATTAATTTTGGTAATTTTTTTAATTTTGTGTTTTTTATTTAAAATATATTTTCACTGAAAAAATAAGCATGCCAATTAGATTGCAGAACAAATATTAATATTAAGTGTCCAATAAAATATTGCAATTCGCTTTTTTCACTCTTATGCGTATATTCTAAGTGTATCTATCATATCGTTTACTTCCGGAAAATATCTTTTCTAACACATTCAAAGTTCGCATACAAATCCATTTCCATCAAGTATCTTGTGTTTGTGCACACATTTACGCATAATTTTCATCGCTTCATGCTATCCCCACTGACTGACTTCCTTTTCGGACACATTTGCTTAATAAAACTTTGCAGACGACGCAACGCATCAATAACATGCACCAGTATTTCACTACTCGGCAAACAACACGCTTTCCACGCTTCTCGTAATCATATTTGCAAGTGTATTTGTTTGCTTGCGACACACCGGAGGGTGGTTGGCGTCTATAGCCATCGCATTCCGTCGTTGGTTTGTTATTGTTATCGTATTTTACCGGTAAAAAAAAGATAATAGGAAAGCAAAGCAACCGACGATAACACAGCAACCCCAACAAGCTGTCTTGGAGCTTTCGCGCAACATATTTAGCCAGACAACAAACAGTTCAAACCTTCAAACAGTCGTTTAAAAGTACGTTATGCTCTCTGCTCGTTGCCATCGAACCAACCACAACAAAAACAGCAATTGGAAACCAATGGAACAACCAAAGTCAACCAGTCACCCATGGAGCAAGGGAATAGTGTTGCCACTTGTAGCGGATATAAAAAAAAAAAAAAAACATACAAAAATTATGTTAATATAATGGAAAATGCAAAACCAATCACGAAATAATTCTGAATTTTGTGTTTAATAATTTTTCTTACACTAAATTTGAGAGTTATTTTTGCACACATAAAAACTACTTAGTGCTGCCGTAAATGCATTTGGTAGGAAAAGACAATGAAATAAGACATTTGACAGCTACGATGTTTAACTTGAAACTTAAAACAGACAGTAATTATAAAAAAAACTCTAGAACCTATTTGTGGTTTTATTGAATAGCACAAACAATTACAGTGCAAATAATATAATCATATTCGATTGATATATCTTGTTAATGTTCTGTCGTCAGATTGTTTGCTTGATATTGTGTTTCCCTTATAAGTTTTCGTATAGAATAATAAGCTATTGGCAGTTATAGGCGAGACGGTACAAGAGATAATAAAAGGCAAGATAAACTTCGCTATTTTTTAAAAAGAAAAATTTTTTAAACTCATAAATCCCAGTAATATTGGCAACACTGAATCGATAAGCGCGGATTGCTTGTGTGGTCTGGCCATTTTCTGTATGTCTGTATGTTTGGGCGGCGTATAAAAGTTTAATTTGTTGATTGTATTTGTGTTCGACACCGTTTTAACATTCGAACGTTTTAACATAAGAACACACATCGTATATAGATAGCGCGTATTTAAAAAAAGTGATGGCGAATATCCACTGTTGTTGAAAAGTTTTTAAATCACCTACTTTTCTTATAGAAAATGGCGAGAGAATTAATATTTGAGGTTACAGATATTTTTAATTTTTTTTCAATTAATATTTTTACAATAATTACAGCACACTTTAAACGGATACAGTGTTTAGAAATGTTGTAACTAATTGTAAGTTCCTAAATGAAAATATTTCAAATTTATTATTATATTATATTCCACTTGACTTAACATATTTATATTTTTATTAGTATGCTCGGTTTTGAAGCATAAACGCTTAAAAACTTCAGTACTGAACACTGTGCAAATGATTGCCGTGTTCGTTTCAACACTCTGATGCATGCCATTGTTATGTCTGCATGCCGATGCGGATGGCAAATTTGAATTAATGTCTATGGTATGCATATGTACATATGTAATGCATTTGAACGTACATATGAATGTATAAACTCAGACATTTTGTTTCGTGGTGGTCAAGGCATGTCGGATACATACACTGTATCAGTACATTTAAACTTTCACATACATCCATACATGCAAATAATTTATGTTTAAAGATATGCAAGGCTACAGTTTCTATTTCAGCATACAGTTAAGCTAAGCATAATTTTAGGCGTTTGCACATGTAATGCGCATCAGTTGGAATTTTAACATGTACGAATGTCGCATAGATTGCATGTATTCCGTTCGCCGCAGCCACAATTCTTGCATAAACTGTTGCTGTTTTGCATAATTGTCCCTGTATTGGTATACAAATACATCATTGTCACTCGCTTAATACTCGCATCTGCTTTATACCGTTATATTTACGAGCGTGATTTATAATTGCTATTGTGCTGAAATCGAAAGAAGCGAAATAGTAGAGTTTTTTTTGGGGCGGAATGAGAAAATTTAAGCTTCTTTTTATGTTAGTGCGAAGTTTGATCGCCATATGTCAATTGGTATGCATTTGGCAGCTATTTGTTTACAAATATACGCGAAATGTTTAACCGGCGATTTTTCCACAGAAAGCTGAAATAAGGAGTTTCGTGAATCATTGGAACTGTTGTAGAAGTGCTTTGGGTAGTCTAGTTTATCACAAACCCAAGTAGTTCAGTGGCACAAAGCTTTCAGTGAAGTTCGTGAAGTCATCGAAAACTTGCCCAATCCACTTTTGTTAATGACGATAAAATTTAAAAAGGCAAGATTGCTTGATTTGGCATCAGAGGGATATCAGATGGTAACATATACCTCTTATGCAATCGACTCAAAATATTTTGGTTATTGTTTTGCTTATGAAGTGTGTCAATGCTAGACACCTAAATCTTTAACAACTACGAAGTCGGGGAGTCGAAAAAAGATGCTTGAAACGTAGTTGTGGAAATTTAACCAAAACCTCGCTGAAACCACTGAAGGACATCACAGGCATAAGCCGCGGGTGCAGGTGTATGGAAAATTGGATTGATTGAAAATGGTTGATAATATTATTTTAAATCAAATACGAGATAATTTTTTTTTTTTTTTGTTAAATCTTGTTAAGACTTTTTGAAGCTTTTTGAGCTCTGGTTTACCTGCAGGGTGC